GAAGGTGAAAGGTTTGGGAAAGGAGCACAGTGGGGGGATGGAGCTGGAGGAGGGAGGGATGGAGAAGGAAGCTGGGGTGGGCTGGGAAGAGGGGGCTTAGGTTGGGGGAGCTGGACTGAGGGTTTGGGGAGGGAGAAGAATTTGGGGGGAAGTGGGGACTTTGAAGGTGGCAGGAGGTGGGGTAGGGAGTAAGGGAGAGGTTTGAAAGGGGAAGGAATAAGGGGACGGGGAAAGGAACATGTGGGGCATGAAAGCAGAGACAAATTGAGTTGGGAAAGAAGAATTGATGTGTTGATTACAGAGCAAAATGGACTGGTGTTGAAGAACACTGGAGCAGGGAGGAGTGAGATGAGGGGCTGAAATGGGAGCGGGGTTGTTAGGGGATAGAGCTGGGGGGGAACTGAATGAGGAACCATGAGAATCGCAGGGGGAGCCTGTGCTAGAGAGTGCAGTGAAGAACAAGCTGGGGCAGGTGGCCTGGGAGTGGGACAGGGAGCTTGAGGCGGAGGGGAAGTGCAGTGTAAGGCTTGTGAAGGGGTTGGAAGAGGCCGAGCTGGAGAAAGGGGGGGAGTATCAGGGCACGGACTGGTAGAAAATTGGTGGTGGAAGCGCAGGGACATGATGTAGCCGTTGATGGATAAGTACAGTTAGGAGGGGGTGAAGTGAGGATGAAAGATCTAGTGCCGAACTGGCACTTCTGGCTAACTTTATTTCTTTAAAAGTCAATTCTGGTAACAGTAAGTTCAGCTGTTACCCAGGAGGTCTCGTCTTCCTTTCCTGCCCTGCTTAGGAAACGTGTCTACATCGTTCTTTTTCTTTCTCACTAAACTTTGTCCGCTGTGGATAAATCAATGTCACTTCCCAGGTGGCTGTATCCCACTGTGCAGTCAGGATTGCACTTGATAATGTCTCAAAGTTACCATGGATATAGGTTTTCTCTTAAAACCCCGTTTTAGCTGCCGGTCCTCATGCAGCTGCATCATATACTGATGCATATACTGCTAAAATTGACACCGGTTGGAAGTATTTGCAGTTGATCGTTGGTAAGCTGCTTTGTTTGGGAGAGTTTTAAGCTTTTTATCCCCTTCTCTTCCAGGGTTTTGCTGCAGGTGACGACTGATTGCCATGAGTTCAAGTATTTTCCTCTGATTTGCTGTTCAGTGGGCCGAAGTGAGGGATGGCTACGGAAGCCAAGTACAGCATCGTTCGAGAGGTGGGCCGAGGGAGCTATGGGGTGGTTTACGAGGCCATTGTTAATCAAACTAGAAGCAAAGTAGCTGTTAAAAGGATGCACTGCAACGTGCCTGAAAATGTAGAACTGGCTCTGCAAGAGTTCTGGGCCCTGCAGAGCATCCAGAGGCAACATGAAAACGTGATCCAGTTGGAGGAGTGTATCCTGCAGAACGGCCAAGTCTTTCAGCCAATTAGTCATCGTTACAGGAAATCAGACAGCCATTTGCTGCTCATTGAGACCTGCCTGAAAGGGCGGAGGTGCATGGATCCCAAATCGGCCTGCTTTCTGTGGTTTGTGATGGAGTTTTGCGATGGTGGCAACATGAATGAGTACCTGCTGTCTCGCAGCCCCGATGCTCAGCTGAATAACAGCTTCATGCGGCAGCTCAGCAGCGCTGTGGCTTTCCTGCACAGAAACCAGATCGTGCACAGAGACCTGAAATCTGACAATATTTTGATTTCTCATAGACGTGGAAGTCCCATAGTGAAGGTAAGGGAATAAAACTTTGCTCTAAGCAGCACGTGATCTACGTGCTTACGCATCACATGCTTTGGAATGGTCTTTTGGTAAGTCTTGTGATACTCGCAGCTTGTAATAAATGTACTCAGAACATCTGTTATCAGTTGTGGGCTTTTTTTTTAGGCGTCTTGGAAGGAAGTAGAGATCACGATGGTGTTGTTTCTGTAACGTCCTTCATCCACTGCTTATCCTGTTGAGAGGAGCTGTTCAGGGCTGCCTCACTTCTGCACGCTAGATAATCGGGGAGATTGTGATCAGTCAAAAATGAAGCAATATTTTCTGTGCCCTTAAACCTTAAGAACATACTGGCCTGTTACAACAGCCAGCGCTCCAATATTGCTGCCTCAAGCACATATTGACGTTCAGGGGAGGCGGGGAACGTCTTCGTGCGGGTTGATGCCCTGCTTGAGATGAAGGCTGGCTAGCTGCCTTGTAGCACCAGACTGAAAGCCTGTACAGCTGCTTTTCAGAGAGCTGGAAAAGCTGGGAGCCATCTTGCTCCTAAACTTTCAATCCTGATGGTTCCTATAGTTAGACGTAAAATAACAGGTCGGTGCCTGGGAGATAATTCACGTCTTGACCGTTCAGATCAATAATGGTGTTTGTACTTGGACCTGTAGAGCAGTCAAGGGATATTTAAATCAATGTCATCTTAATCACCATGGATAATAACGGTAATGCAAGAGATTCGGTGCGCTCACTGGGGAACAGTAAGAGCCTCTCCTACCGTAGATGTCGTTCAAGGTATGTTCGTGCCCGATTAGATGTAATCAGAATGAACTTCACAAAAGATAACGAACAGATACCAGGTTTGCCCACCTTAGGAAGGGGAACAAACAACAGGAAAGGAGTTGGCGAATGGACAGCTAACAGGAATCATCGGCTCTTTGTTTCACAAGTGTCAGTGCCATGCTGTGGTGGATTTCGGAGCGGAATTCGCTGTGCTGATGTTTGTAAACACGCATGTAAACTTGATATTTGTGAATAAATTATTTTGCTTTTCTTATGCATTGCAGGTAGCAGATTTTGGCCTCAGCAAGGTGTGTCAGGGGAAAGGGAATGTGAACCAGCATCGCTTCTCCTCTGCCTGTGGGTCAAACTTCTACATGGCTCCAGAAGTATGGGAAGGTCACTACACTGCCAAGGCTGACATATTTGCCCTTGGGATAATTTTCTGGGCTATGGTCGAGAGGATCACCTTCCGAGACGGGGATACTGAGAAGGAATTGCTCGGTGAGGATGGGATCAGTGCTGTCCTGTTGTCAGTGGACGTTCTGGATCTGTGGGGATCTTCTGAGAGGTGTTTTTCCCAGGCATAGTTACAAACGCTGTGGCATATATGCTTTGGATGGGGCTTTTTCCAGGACTTTGCAACCCAAAGAAACCCAAAGTTGGGGGTTTTTGGGTGTTTTGGGGTTTTGTTTTTAAGAGAATTGCAAAGAAAGTTCTTTTTCTTCAGCATGCGTTGCTCCTAATTTGGTTGCTTCTCATGCAGGGTTTCCAGGTCTTGAAGAGATATCACTAAGGCAGAGGGAATGCTTTTTATATTTACAAATCATTTTGTTTGGAAGACCATTCCTTCTGCCAGAAATACTCTGTGGGATTGGAAGGTTAAGGGAAAGATCACTTCTGGCTTCTCCGCTGTCAGGCCTTCCTTACCCTAAGGAACGCTCTTCAAAAATGGATTTGGCCCTTATTGTCACTAAAGAATTGTAAGAGAAAAAACTCGTAGCCGTTGGTGGCGCGTGTGTCTTACAGCAATGCTCTTCATGGAGGAGTTAGTATCTGTGTGCTTCCATTTGCTCAGAAATGCTTTTAATGCTCTTAAAACCAAAATCTTTCTGGAATTGGGCTTATGGGTTTGCTTGTATGCTTGACTTGGCATAACCAAGGGACGGGATCACTCAGAGTGCTGAAAGGATGTTCCAAGGAGCCAAATAATAAACTGGGAAAGGATGTTTAGATAAGCTTCGCTGCCATCTGGCTGAGCTTCCTCGCGGTTTAGAGATGCAAGATCTCACAGGGATGACTCCTCCGATGGCCTGCTCTCTCCCTCCCTCCCCGCCTCCTTCCTCCAAATCCCCCACATATAGGCATGCTTGAAATACTTTGTACTAAATGATTTCAGAAAAGTGTATTGCGTTGGAAAATCCATCTCGAGAGGAGAGAATGCCAGTCATGCACATTAGCATAATAACCGAACGCGTCTACCCAGGCGCTGAGATCATAGTATACCTGTCTGTCTTTCTTTTAAATGTTTAAATTCTTAAAAGGAATTTCCGCGGAGGAACTTTGAGAAGCTATTGTGCTACCCCTTTAATTTTTTTTTTCATCTTCAAGTAGGCTCAGTTCTAATTCTATTATTTATTTCTTTTTAAAATGCCAAACGTTGACAAATGTTTTAGTTCCTGCCTACAGAAACAAGCAAATGGCTGCAGCTGAGACCAAAGCATGAACAGATTTCATTCAAATAGCTACCCGCCAACTTGAGATAAGGAGTTTGCAAGGCCAACCTTTTCTATACACAGACAGGTCACTGCCTTTGAAACATTTATTCTGTGCTTGGTGCAGGGGCAGAACGGTTTGAGTGAGCAAAGCTGTTTTTACTGTCTGTTTTGGAAGCTGGTTAATCATTTTCAACAACCGGTGAAATTATTTAGATTACCAGGAGCAAATTTACATTTCCCTTCCTTAATCTTGCCGAGGAGAAGTTGGCTAACAGTAAATGGCATATGCTGTCATTTTAATTGAAAATTGTTTGACTAACTGAGCAAATAAGTTGTGCGTTTAACTCTTTCAAGTCCCCTCAGCCAAGCCCAGTCTGTCTCCCTCTTCTAGAGGTTCCCAGTCTGCTAGTAGGGGGAAACGGAGGAAAATGGAGGAAGTTCATTCCAGCAGCCCGTTTTCTCTGCAGACGGTCCGTATAATTGCTTGACGAGCATGCCGTGCTTAAACTTGCTCCCTCTGTTCCACTCACGGTGGAACAGCCTTGTGCAACATCTTGATTACTGTGTGAAAGTAAAAACCTCTTCTGATAACAACCTCTCCCAATATTTGACTTGGCGGTCGCCTCTTAATAAGAGATCTTTCTGGTAATCTTTCAGATGTTTTAGTTTCCAGGTTGTCTGTCCGTACTGCGCACGACAGCGTTTTGTGTAGACTTCCCTCTACCTGTATAACCCGATTCCTTCTAATCTGTGTTCAGGAACTTACATCTGCCAAGGCAAGGAGCTTATTCCCCTCGGAGAAGCGTTGCTGGAGAATCCCAACATGAAATTACAAATTCCCCTGAAGAACAAGAAGTCCATGCCAGATGATCTCTGCAAGCTCCTGCACGATATGCTGGCTTTTAACCCAAAGGAAAGATTGGATGCCTTCCAACTAGAAGTCCGAATCAGGCAAATCTCCTACGGCAAAAAGCGTCAACGCTCTGTCTCGTAGAGACGAAGGACGTTCAGGTTAGTGTCTCTGCCAGGCTACTCCCTATTTAGGCTGAGCTTACGGGGGGTTTTTTGTGATTGACCTCCAGGCCAAAGCCCTCTAAGTCAAACGTGACCTGTGGCAGTTCTGAAAATTCAGCGATAGAAAGATACAGTCACGCTAGAAGAAGAAGAAAAGGTTTTGATAAACGTTTGGGAAAAGGAATTTGGTTGAAGTACACCTAACAGAGAAAGTTTCGCTTCCTTAATGGTGTTTGTTCAGGGAATTGGCTGTGCTGCCTGTATTAGGGCCAGCCTGTCCTTTACCCTAAACCTCATCTGTTTCCACAAATGAGGGCAGATCTCTGCCATCACTCCAGCATTTACCCGTGCTTGCGTTTGTTGCTTTTACAATATATTTGCTAACTAAATAAAACCTAAAGTGGGCAAAGTTACTGCGTATTTGTAGGGGTGCATCTTAAATATGGCATCTTAAATATGGTATTCAGGTATGATAGGAACTGTCAGATTAAAGACAGATGATTTTTTTTTTATTAATTAAAGCAGTGTTAGTGCTCAGAGCGTATCAGAGCTGGGTGCGCCAGGCGATAGAGGAGCTTCCTGTCCTGAACTGTTTAACATGTAAAGGCCTTGAAGAATGTCTTGGAAAAGGCTGGACTGGAAGTCTGGTGGTCTTGCTGAGTCCTGCAGTGAGACTGGTGTTTTCATGTGCCCACACTGGGGGGGGGGGGGAGGTCCGGGGGTGGGACTTGTGTTTTCATGGGCCCCCACGGGGGGGGGGGGGCAGGGAATTGATCGTTATCCTTGTGAGTTCTGGATGGCCTCTGTAGTACCTGCCGCGATGGAAATTTGAACGTCCAACATAAAATTCAAGACGGTCTGTCAGATCCCGTGTCTTTCAGCAGAGCAATGAAAATACAGAAGGGAGCTTCCAGGATTTTCTGCTATCGTGGGCTTCGTAGCCTAGAATTTATTTGATAAATGCATCATAGAAATAAAGGTTTTTGCATCTGTCACTGAGACTGAGCATCTGGCTGTCCTTATAGCTAAGGACACTTGTCCTTTGCAACACCAATGCGTTTCTGATCAGTTTACTACTCTCGATCTTGTGACAGACTTGCCCTTTAGCTTAAAATGTTCTTCTCCTTCCCGGGTGTTTGCCCATTCAGAACTATTTTATAGAGGACAGTTGTAACCTTAGCAGCATTTCTTCCTGTCGGAGGTTGGTTGGTTGGTTCCATCGAGCTTGGCTCCTTCATCTCCTCCGTACACAAGTAATTTCTGCGCTTACTCTAGTCGAGTCTCTTCAGGTCCTTGTAAAGCACTGGCATTTACGATCTAGCCTGGAAATATTCCTCCTGATGTATTCCAGGATCGCATCTCTCTCCTTTCATATCCATATCACTTAATCCTCTCATAATTACTTTGTGTCCTGAAGCCTTTTTTGACTTGACTTGCTTCAAATCAATAACGTTCTGGGTTACAGCAGTTACTTTTGTTCACAGATGCATGGCCTTATGTTTTCTATTACCAAGTTTCGTCCCTGTCAGTGAGAAGAAACGGTGAATGACCCTGAATATTTCCTCATCCTTTTTTATAACCATAATGCCTCCAGCTTTGTGTCATCGGCACACTTCTAATTGTGCCAAGGCCGTTAGTGAACGCATTAATTAAACAGGTCCGTTGCCAGTGCCAATCTTGATAAAACTCTACACTAGCCTCTTCCTTTCCAAATAATCCATTTCAGTTTTCCCTTGGGACAGGTTAACTGCCTTATGTATTCCTTTTTACTCATCCCAGTCTTCTCCTGTCTGTCTAATACTTTCTTGTGCGATACTACATAAAACGCTTTCCTGAAATCCCACTGGACGAGACCAACGCTTCTGTTTATCTAGCAAAATCAGTTTTACTGCCGAAAACGACGCGATTAGTCTGGTAGGATCTGCAGTTCTGGGGTCTCCCACCTGAAACAGGAGGCCTGGCATACTGTAACAGCAACAGTACCACTAGTTGGCAGGCCAGCCCTGAAGCGGTTAGCCTGCTATAGAGGAATTTGCAAGGATAAAGAGGAAAAAAAGGCTCCAGCAGCACAGCGTCAGGCTTACTGCTGTTGACTTTCCTTTTTCATTATGAAACCACGATGGTAAATAGGTTTGCAGACTAGGTGCAGAAGAAAAACGCCAGCACAGCCAGGACATAACCCTGAAAACCCCGTCTGTCTCAATCCTCTTAATTTATTTGATGTTCCTGTTCGGTAGGAAGCTAGCTGAATACCTACTGTACTTGCTTTTGGCATGTAATCGGAGCTGATGCAGCAATGACTGGTGGCACAGCGTTCCTCGCCACGAGGCGCTGGTCTCACGCTGTTGAAAACGCTGTCAGCCGCTGCGTTAGCGTGGGCTGACACAAAAACCAGCTCACCTTTCTCAAATGGGGTTGTCTTAAACACCAATTCCATTTTTTTCTTTTGCTTCAGTCCAGAAAACAGACCGATTTCATAGCCGGCTTTCCTAACCTAAAATCGGGAGTAGCGCAGACGCTGAAAAGGGTTTCTCGCACCGCTAAATCTAGGTGTTTCTGAAGAAATTCCCCAATAGCAAGTTCAAATCAAATGGGAGATACTTTTTTTTTTTTTTCCCATGATGCTTTGTTATCACAGGGCAATGAACTCTGCAGTCTAGGGCAGCCAAACACTAAATCTCCTCAGAACAGTGTGAAAAACATCTAAATGAGTTTTCTTTCATGAATTTAAAGACAAGGATAGGGATATAACCAGTGATTCAGGAAGTCCTTAAGTTAAACATTGCTCAGAACTGGGATTTTTAGTGAGGAAAGCCTGCTTGCGTACCTGCCCTGCGCTCTTCCCTAAGCGCGTGTACGCTGTCGATGTCCCCGAGGCAGAACAGTGGGCCAGGGGACCTTTGGAATGGGCCAGCGCTCTCGCCAAGAAGTGTTTTATTTTTGTAATTTTGACGCGTTTCCTTTGCAGGTATCGTGTCCTGCGGTGATCTGGAGACCTCGGAGATGGTGAACAACTCTGCCTTCCTTTGGAATAAGTGGATCGATCAGAAGACCATTGCCGGCTTCCAGTTTTCCCGAACGGTTATATTTAAATGGACAATAACTTTTATTTATTTGTACAGTAATTTTAAGAGGAGAACTACAAAAAAAAAAAATCTATTTTTATGCAAACCTTCGGTGGTTTTATATTTGCGTTCTTTTATGCAGCGAGCAGTGTAGGTGAAAACTGCGTTGGCCTTGACTGTCCACACTCAGCACGGTCGTAGAGGAGTTTTTTTGAACTTGCTCTTTTTAAAGCAACCCTTGGGCGTCCTTTTCTTGCCGTCCTGTGGCTGCCCTTTCGACGGACGGCAAAGAAACATGCCGAAACCGCCTGGAGACGGGCTTCTCTGCCCTATTGCGTGTTGACTGCCTTTCCAGCCCTGGCTTCTCACTGATAACGCCATGTCGCTTGTCCGTGGCAGAGAACTTGTCTTTACGAGGTTTAACTGGAGCTTTTCTTTTTTTTGTGTGTGTAATTCTTTGCTCCCTCTTGCTTGGCCACGTACGTGAGTGATGTCTGCTGAATGAGCTGGCAAAGTGTTCAGTGTCTATTCTGAAAAGTTTGAGCAGAAACAAAAATGTATTTTCTTCACAGTAGCTTTTGAATATTCTTGCTTAGATTAACTAAAATGCTTTCTTAAAATAAATACAAAGAATGTTAAAGATGCCAACTCTTGATTAGAACGTATGCGTCACTAACACTTAAAGTAGTTTAAGGAATCATGCTTCCTGCTGTGTTAGCTGCTTGTGCCAGCTGTTCTTACAAGGGAAATGAAAAGGACTGAACTGGAATCTTGGCAGGTAAATGGGGAGTCTAATTTGCACCCTGTTTGAAAAATATTTTAATGTATCTGTAAACTACTGCCGATCTTTGCTTTTCTTAAGGAGCTGGGAGCTCCTGGAAAAGGTTCCTCCTATGCTCTTCTGTTGTGCAGAGGTGAAATAGCGTCCTTCAGGGACAGCTTCCTTTTGGAGGAAAGGAATAAACTGCCAAAAGAAAAATAACGTGGGGAGCCCCTCTGCGCCACACAGAGGACAGAAATCCATCTCTTTCTGTTAGATAATATATTTCTTCCCCCTGTCCTACTCTACGAAGGTCGTGGCTGCAATATAGAAGACGCTGTATTATAAGCGGTGTGTCGTAATTCACGGAGGGGATCTTTCTTCCTGCTGTGACTTTATCCAGAGGCTCCACTGGCCTTCCCTGGGGAAGCGCAGCATTTTCTCACCTGCTCCTCCAGGCTGTAAAATACGTTTGTCTTGCACAAACAAGCATTAATTGACCCCTGTCCCCGTAACAGAGAACAAATGGGTTACCCAGCGGGAGCGGTCCCTGAAAAGAGCTGTTGTGGGAGCATATAAAAAAACCCAAATTCATTCAAATCGATAAATTAAACTTGACTTTTGAATTTAGAGGCCAACAGCGCTCGTGCGTACGAAGCACGCGCAGCAAGGATAGACGCGGTTGCTTTGAAGCTCATTCAGCTCTTGATACCTCTGTGCAGAGATGGATGGGGACTGGGAACGAGCTGAAAACTGGTCTGGATCTCTTTTTTTTTTTTTTTTTTTTTTTTTTACCGAAAGCCCCAGTCACCCTATTCTGGAGAGCGCTTCTGCCTGCTGGTAGACAGGTCCGCCTTGGATTGCAGCTCTATGCCTGCAGTACAGCCCAGTTTTACCTAATCCTCCTCCTTGCCTTGAGCTCTAACTAACTAATCTTGAGGGTTCTGGGAATCGGGACTGTATGCTGAGTTTTCCTTTCCGCAGCTTTCGCTTATAAATACTCTTTTGCTTTGCGGAGCTGCCGTTCTGAAGCACGGTGGCTTCATCCTTCTCTTCCTAATCCTGTAGCCACCGCTACGCTATTGTCCGCTTTCTGCCGCCTCTCCTCCGAGCACGCTGGTGGTCTGCCAGGGCTCTTTTTAGTCGAGACCGGGTCCAATTTTCTGGAATACAGATAGGTTTGCACCCCCCTGCGACACGTGAGAAAATTGAGGGGCGAAAGAATGGCAGTTTGCTCGTTTTCTTCCTTGTTTTGCCACGCTGGGCGAGCATCCTCCCAGCTGCTTGATATTTTTAGCTAGTCTG